TTTCAAACTAGCTCTTTTGAAATAGCGGTAGCGTGGACACCTCGGTGCCACTATTTCGACATAACTACTCCCTGGAGTAATTCGAACTAATTACTCCCCAGGGCTTCCTTGGGGCTCTAAGTCCCAGGGAGTGCGTCCACATTAATGGAGCCTGGCTTGGACTAATGTTGAGGCTTCCCCATAACGAGGATGCACTCTTTCGAATGTGTTAAATTCAGAGTTGAGTCGAATTTAGTAATTTCCAAATCATTTCCTAGTGTCGACATGGCCTGAGATCAGAACCTGGGGAAATTAGCTCTGAACCCTGCAGGTGTCTCTGTGGTATTGACAATCCTTTCCCTCCACCTCTTTCTGACACCCAGACTTTCTCTCTCTGTCTCTTTCTCATTTTCACCTTCAGTCAGATGAGGCTTTATACCTCCCTCCCACAGCAACGGGTCGTGAGCGCCCACCGACCCCAGCCACAGGGCATGTGTCAGTGTAACAATCACTTTTGTGCCCATGGGTGGCGGGTAATGTAGGCAAGGGAAGGCTTGGGCTGTCCACGTAGCAGCCCCGGTTCTCAGCTGGGATTGGGCAGAACGTGGCTCGGGCGGGGGGAAGGTTCTGGAAGGGCATGGTCTCGGGGGAAGGGGTGTGGCTTTGGTCAGAAAGGGGCGGGGCTTTGACTGCCTGTCCCCAGCTGGGCCTTCACCCACTCCCCAAGTTTATGCCGTACCTTTCCAATGGCCACACCTCCTCCTGAGCATCTGTTAGTCGTTCATCCTACCAGCCCAACGTCCAGCAAGCGACGAGGAGTCGAATTTTTCCCAGGAGGATTAACGGTATTGCCAAAGGGCCTACTCCTGCTTGGGGAAATGCATGGCTGGCATGACAGAGCACACTTGGCCCCAACCAAAGGGTGGCTCATGGCGCGTAGAACTCAGAAAGCATAATAGAAAAAATTCTAACTCAGCTCTCCATTCCCACCGGGCACTTAGCACTCTACCGCATTAAGCCCCATGGATTTGACCCCCCCAGAGTCCCTGGGACAGAGCCTCTTGCTGGATGGTTGCAGTGATGAGGGAAATCCACACTCATGCTGCAAGGCCAACCCTATAAGGGTCAGGAAGGAATTTTGCCACCTCCTGCTATTGCACGGTGATGCTGGAATGTGCCTTTAGCAACAGCCCTGAGCAACGAGTGGGGATGGGGGGAAGTTGCACCAGCCCAGGGAGTCCCTGGGGCACAATTCCCGTCCCGCACCAGGGAGAAAGCACCTCATAGTGAAAAGGTGCTTGCACCAGGCTGGCTACTTTGACCTGTTACAGGGTGGATGGGGTGGAGCTAAGGGTCTATCCACTCCACACCTGAGCAGAGGCTCTGAGCTGCACCAGCTCGAGAGCTGCAACCTGCCCGGCCGAGCAGGGTCTGAAGGGGACACGGGGATGGGTGACTGTGTCTCCCCCACTTGGCCCTGTCCCTTTCTGGGAGCTGACCCGGGATCTCCGGCGCCTGGGGCCTGATTCTGCTCTTGCTCCCAGCTGGGACAATCGGGCATTCTGAACCGTCTGGCGTGAAACAGCCACGACGGCCGAATCCGGTCCCGTGCCCCCATTTGAAGATTCTCGGCTGGTGTCAATCAGCATCGCTCCGTTGACTCCCGTGGAGTTGCTCTGACTTAGGCCCGCTGAGGGACTGGCTCGCTCCCCACAGGGAGAGCCTGCCCCTCCCACGCCCCTTGTGTCTCTGTGCCAGAGGGAAGAAGGGCGCCAGTGTCTCCGTGCGCTCCTGCGGTGGGAGGAGTTCGATGAGGTGAGGGACCAAAGGCGCAGCATAGAACTCGCAGCCGCCGAAGTGGGGAGGCAAAGGGAGGAGCTGCTGAATGACATCAGAGGTGCGTCCTAGCAGTGGGAATTTCCTCCAGCCCCCTGCTTTCCCCTCCCCCCGCCCATTGGACATCAGAAGCAGGGACGGCAAAGCGGTGACACTAGGCAAGGAGAGTCAAGCCCTCAAGCTACGTCTACACTGCGCGTTGTTGCGCAAGAAGCGCCGAAGTGGGGAGGCAAAGGGAGGAGCTGCTGAATGACATCAGAGGTGCGTCCTAGCAGTGGGAATTTCCTCCAGCCCCCTGCTTTCCCCTCCCCCCGCCCATTGGACATCAGAAGCAGGGACGGCAAAGCGGTGACACTAGGCAAGGAGAGTCAAGCCCTCAAGCTACGTCTACACTGCGCGTTGTTGCGCAAGAAGCTATGCAAATGAGGCGCGGCGATATTCATTTGCATACCGAATGAGACGCCATGTTGCAGAAGGGGCTTTTGCGCAAAAAAGGAGCGGTCTACACCGCTCCGTCCTGCGCAAAAAAACCCTCTTGCGCAAGAGCCGTCCTGCCTCTTGTTTTCAGGAAGAACCGCTCCTGCGCAAGAGGGGTTTGTTGTGCAAGAAGGAGCAGTGTAGACAGCTCCTCCTTGCGCAAAAGCCGTGCTGCAAAAATGGCAGAGAATTAGGTATGCAAATAAGGTGAGGCGATATTCATCGCCACGCCTCATTTGCATATTTTCTTGCGCAACAATGCAGAGTGTAGACGTAACCTAAATGTTTGAACATCAGCATGGCCAGACTAGGTCAGACCAAAAGTCCATGTAGCCCAATGTCCTCTCTGTTGACAGTGGCCAATGCCAGATGCCCCAGAGGGAGTGAACAGAACAGATAATCATCATGTGCTTCCCATTTCCAGATAGAGGCTAGGGATACCATTCCTACTCATCCTGACTAATAGCCATCAGTGGACCTAACCTCCATGAATCTATCTAGCTCTTTTTTGAACCCTGTTCAAGTCCTGATCTTCACATCCTCTGGCAAGGAGTTCCACAGGTTGACTGTGCATTCTGTGAAGAGATACTTCCTTCTGTTGGTTTGAAAGTTGCTGCTTATTCATTTCATTTGTGTTGACTGTGCATTCTGTGAAGAGATACTTCCTTCTGTTGGTTTGAAAGTTGCTGCTTATTCATTTCATTTGCGTCCTAGTTCTTAGGTTATGGGAACAAGTCAAAAACGTTTCCCTATTCGCTTTCTCCACACCTGCCATGACTTTATAGACCTCTATCCTATCCTCCCCGAGTCGCCTCTATTGTAAGCTGAAAAGTCCCCGTCTTTTTTACTCTCCTCACACGGGACCTGTTCCCTTTGGATTGCCAGGTCCTGAGGCAAGTGCCCCATTTGGCCCCCACTGTCAGTGGGCCTGGCTGTGCTGTCCCAGGAGATGCCAGGGTGATTGAAGTCCCCCTATGAGAGCCTGAGCCTGTGATCCAGAAACTTCTATTAGTTGCCTCCCTCATCCTCCCGGTCCGGTGGCCTATAGCAGATGCCTGTCACCACATCACCCTTGTTGCTCCCGCCTCTAAACTTAACCCAAAGACTCGTCACAGGCTTTTCTTCTGTTTCTCACTGGAGCTGTGAACAGTCACACGGCTCTCTGACGTACAGCGCAACTCCTCCACCTGTTCTCCCTGCCCGTCCTTCCTGACCAGATTACACCCTCCCACGACCGAGCTCCACTCATGTGAGTCACCTCACCAAGTCTCTGCTCTTCCCCACACATCAGAGGGAATTTGCCTGGGAGGAGTCCGAGAGGCGCTTCGGTGGGCCTGAGCGGTTGGTTGGAGGGAACGGTTTGAGTGGAGGCACCTGTGTTGATTACGAAAAAATGGCCAATTGCCAACCAAATGGGCCATGAACAGAGGAGAAACAAAGAGAGTGAGGCAAGGTGGGAACGAGGCCGGGAACGAGCAGACACAGGACCTACTGCAGCTGTGAGCAGCTGCTTTGGGCAGCCAATCCCCTGCTGATTGGTAGAGCAGCTCTGCCAGTCACCTCAGCCAATCAGGGGTTTAGCCAATCAAGCAACTCGGATGGGGACTAGCTCCCTCTGATAAGCAGGTGTCCCGCCCCCACGGTGCAGACCCCTAGCGCAGATGTCGCCTGACTACTTTTCTTCCCACATAACTTCTTAGATTGGCACTGCCCCCCTCCAGCGGCCTTTGGCAAGTTACCTAACCGGGCACGTCTACACTAGGAAATCATTTCGAAATCGCTACATCTGAAATAGTAACTCCCGACATAAGAAAATCAAACTAACACATCCACACTACGGGGAGCCTCAAAACAAGTCCGAGGCAGGCTCTGTTAGTGTGGACGTGCTCCCTCCACTGAGAGCCCCAAGGAGCCCAGGGGAGTAATGACTTTGAGTGAGCCTGGGGAGTCGTTATTTCGAAACAGCAGCAGCGCAGCGTCCACGTGACTGCACTTTCAAAATCATGATTTCAAAATCAGCGTTATTCCCTGAGGAAAGCAGGAGTGCAGACTTCGAAATAACCAGCCCCTTATTTCGAAATAACGGGCTTGGTTGTGTGGATGCTCCACTTGTTATTTCGAAATAAGCGGGGGGAGGGTATTTTGAAAGAACTCCCTACTGCAGACCAGGGCTTTGAGGCTTCATCTGGAAAACAAGAATAGTGACCCACATGGTGTGAAGATGAATCATAGAATCCCAGAGCACAAGAACTGGAAGGGACCTCAAGAAGTCATCGAGTCCAGTCCCCTGCCCTCACAGCAGGACCAAGCACCATCTAGATCATCTCTGACAGGTGTCTGTCTAACCTGCTCTTACATATCTCCAGTGATGGAAATTCCACAACCCCCCTAGGCAACTTATTCCAGTGTTTAACCACCCTGTTTTTCCTAGTGTCCAACCTCAACCTCTCTTGCCGCAATTAAAGCCCATTGATTCTTGTCCTATCCTCAGAGGCCAAGGAGAACAATTTTTCTCCCTCCTCCTTGTAACACATTTGTAGATACTTGAAAACTGCTCTCATGTCCCCTCCTAGTCTTCTCCTTTCCAAACCAAACAAGCCCAATTTTTTCAGTCTCCCCTCAGAGCTCATGTTCTCTAGACCTTTCATCATTTTTGTTGCTCTTCTCTGGACCTTCTCCAATTTCTCCACATCTTTCCTGAAATGTGGTGCCCAGAACTGGACACAATCCTCCAACGGAGGCCTAATCAGTGCAGAGTAGAGCGGAAGAATGACTTCTTGTATCTTGCTCACAACAACCTGTTAATGCCTTCGAGAATCATGTTTGCTTTTTTTGCAGCAGTGTCACACTTAGGGGTGTTCTAGGTTGGTCTGGCCTAATCAGCACAGAGTAGAGCGGAAGAATGACTTCTCGTGTCTGGCTCACAAGACTCCTGTTAACGCCACCCAGAATTAGTGAAGGGTCCATGTTGTCTCATCAGTTACACAGCTGTAATGCCCTGAGGTCCGCTCCTGGCTCAGCAGGGCGACACTGGTGTAACTGAGGGGAGAATTAACCCCCCTCCATGTAAAATGCCATGTTAGATTCTATGATTCTATGATTCTATAATGCATCCCACAATCATGTTTTCTCTTTTTGTAGCAGTGTCACACTTAGGGGTGGTTCAGGTTGGTCTGGCCTAATCAGCACCGAGTAGAGCGGAAGAATGACGTCTCGTGTCTTGCTCACAACACTCCTGTTAACGCAGCCCAGAATTAGTGAAGGGTCCATGTTGTCCCATCAGTTACACGGATGTAACGTCCCTGAGGTCTGCTCCTGGCTCAGCAGGGCGACACTGGTGTAACTGAGGGGAAAATTTACCCCCCTCCATGTAAAATGGCATGGTAGGACCTGCAGCATCATCCACCTTTACAACACCCCTCGGGTTGGACCTTTAAACCTGATCCCACACGGCCTCCTCAAACCGCCACGGACGTCAGCGTTCCCTGAGGGCGAATCCAGCTCCCGTGTCATCGGTCTATCCTGCCGGCAGCGCGTCGTGCCCTCGGCTGAGCTTTTCACCTCTCACCTCCCTTGCCCTGGAACATGCTCCAAGCCTCTTCCAACATCGTCACCCAAAGGTTGGTGGATTTTTTTTTTTGTCCCCACTTTGCTGCCAAGAAACAAATCAAAGCTAACCTTGTCCTTGCTTGCTTGAATACAGTCAGTTCACACCGGCGAGGTGCGGTGTGGCGTTTATTTAGGGCACGTTTCCAGTAGAGACAGACTCGGGCCACAGAGTTGGGATTTGGATTTCAGTTGAACTCTCTCAGCAAATTGCTTTGTGTCTGTGGTTTCAGGGTTCCCCCCTCCTTAGGGTCTAGGACTACACTCGTGATTTCCCCCTTACCACACACACACCCATCCCACTCCAGGGGCTGTGAAGGGCCAAATTCTCCTCACATGCTGATTTTCCTCCCTGGCTTCAGCACGGTTGCTTCTGATTCACATACGGGAGAGGGCGGGAGGGTCAGCGCAAGGCTAAGTGAAGAGAATCAGGTGTCAGATCCCTTCTTCCTTCCTGCCCTTGTAGTGAAGAGCAGTGGATCAAGAACGGCATGGCTGGTAACAGAGCACTGGAAAGGGGAGGGTAAAAAGGGGGGGGCACAGCCCCCTGCCCTACCAGCGGGAAGGAAAAGCAATGGGGGAGGGAGGAGGAGTGGGGGAAGGGTCTTGTGGGGGAAGATGTGATCCAAGGGCACCCCTAGGAGAAGGGGCTGCACAGGGACAGAGCCTTGGAGGAGGTGGAAGGGTGGTTCGGGTGACAAGGCCACAGTCGGGGCATCTGTGGCCTGCCTACTTTTAGGGAGCGTTTACACCTCCTGGATGCCAACACCACAGTGACGTGGTTAAGCAGGACGTCGCTAGGCGACAGACAAAGGCGTTCTTGCCCTCCATTCTGGGGCGCAGGGAGAACGGTTTGGGGGCATCCAGCCCTCACGGGTCACCTCAGTGTTTCACCTCAACACCCCTGTCAGACATAGTCCCTCTCCTCCCCGTGCAAGGTGGCCAGATGCCCTGGGATGAAGGACCGGTGCTCTCCCG